TATATTTTTTTCTCTCTCTTCAATTCTCTGTTTCGTTCTGCCTTTTTCTTTCCTTTCTTTCTCATCCTTTTTATGCTATGCTCTACTCTCTTTTTTGCCCTTTTTGTTCTCTCACTTCTCTTTCGCAACCCCTTGTTATAATACATGCAAAACTGTGCTATGCTCTGCTAGCACGCTTAAATAGCCGAGTGTTTTGTATGCTTGCCTTCCAATTTTGGGTATGTGGTTTCAAATCCTGCCTTGCCAAAAACTCTGTTTCTCACTCTATCTCTGCAATTCCTTTCTCACCCACTAGAGTTAGTGCCATGGTCCTCGGCAGAATCTTCTCTTGGGGGATGCAAACCAGTGTTGCTTTGCAGGTGGGGGAGGGTATTTGCTGATGTGGCTTGAGGTGGGCAAGTTCCCCTTTTGCACCCCCCTGCCGACACACATGGTTATTGCATATCATATTGGTCAAGTCACTGCATGTGTTCTGGGTGCAAAGCAGAAAGTGAAGAAGAGGACCAAGAGAGTGCATGCCAGTTCATGACGATGATCGTCCGTGTTCGTAGGTCATGGAGCAATGCTCGGCTTAAACAGCTCAGCCGCTAAATGAGGAAAAATCCAACAATGTCGTGATGAGCTAAATTGTAGTAAAAAGTAATATAAGGGACATTTCCATCCCACTAGTGGCACTCCTGAAATATATAGATAGCATATCTGTAAGGATACCATTCAATCAATCAATTAGACCATTGGTGGAATAATTGTGAGAGGTCGTAGAGACAGCTATTGTGGCAATTATGGGATGAGACAAGTGTCGTCACAATACAATATCTTGGGTGAGTTAGCTTTTAACTTTCACGTTTACAATATGTTGAGCAAATATGGCACAGAGAAGGCATATTAGATGCACTTCTCATCGGTGGTTATCTGTGTGAAGAATCTGTGTGCTTAGTCTGTGTACATTCTGCAAATATGCAAGTCTCTTCACCTGAAGTCATCATAGTAGGTTCAAAAGGGGATCCAGTGAGGAGAGTGATGCAGACAGGAGGCGGTATGCAAATATCTATAGAAAGACACATCTCAATATTGATAATTAGCATTCTTCATTCTTTCATTCTCTGCCTAGTAAAAACGTGTTCCGTATATGGTTATTCAGCAAATTCATCAATATAAAGTCAGATTTAACACAGAAGTGGTTATGAAATCATACACAGGCCTTGATGAAGTTGTTTTAATTGATGCTTGCCATCCCATCGAAAGCAGCTAAAGCAATTTTACAAGCCTTTGTTGGTTGCAAACTTCCTTGTATTTGAGTCGTATAACGTGCAATAAAGAGTAAGGTTATTCCTATGGACTGTGTTGAAAAATAAGACCCCCTTCTGCTTCAACATTCCACCCTAAGTCAATGAAGGGGCTTGCCAGAATGGGCGAAGTACAATTTTCTACATATAGCATTTTTAGTTCAAAGCATATTTTAAAACTTTTTCACAACTCAACCTGTCCTGTCGGATTATGTGAAGCAGCAGCCAACATATTACACTGTTTACTCAAGGTTTATTTTTTTTTCAAGTCCTGTAAGTAGCCAGAACCTTATGCTGCATGGGTCACCAAAGGAATCAGCTGACTGTGAACTGGAGATCACAACAATGGTATAGAAAAAAGCAGAAAGAATCTCTACAAAATCTCGGTTTAGAAATATGGTAGATGACATAGGAGAGCTATAAAAAGCTGCTCAGACTAAATCACTGAATAAACAAGTGGTATAGCTATGTTTCTGATGCTGTATAATTGTGCACAGAATTAACCTCGATGGTTAGACCCACTGTCTTTTTACTAGTTTTTATTGATTATTTTTCTGGGAAGATTGTGTAAACATAAACAAGTGCTGTTTATGGTTAGTAAAAGTCTTATCGTATCTCTTTGTGAATGTACTATTAACAACGCTTTCCCTTCAAGCATATTATGTGTATTATGATGTCAAATAAGCATTAGAAAAACTTGTAAACATCCACACACACTTTGATAATTAAGAGGGGACGAGCACAAAATTGTAAAAAGGGCTGACTTTCAAAAATTGCAATTTGAGGTATTTATAGTCAAAAGAATGTTTTGAAAAAATTTTATATCATGAAAAATACCATTTCTACTTGTTAAAAGCTAATTATATGAAATTACAAATGTTCTTAAAACTGAGAACATAATTTTCTCAGCATTGTTACTTTTCGGAAGTTAATGTGCCTTACGGAAGTTTTGAGCCAGTTTCTGTGAAGATATCTAAGTTAACTTGGTACCATTCTTTTTCACAGCACTTTAACTACAGGCTAAAGCTTTTCTTTTTCTCTCAACCTTGATAGAATTGTAATTATATGTAGAATAGCAGTTAATTACTGGAAGCTCATTTTTACCTTCCAAGCTTAAAAATTATTTCTGATCAAAGAAATAGCCATTTTGACATATAGTTTGCTTTATCCTGTAGGGTGAACATTTTAGAGGAAACATCTAGTGAGATATTTGAAATCTGTTAGCACATTTGAAATCTCCGTTCAATGGTACACATATATGGTAATTTTCATGACAGTAGGATAATATATGAAAAAGATTTTTAAGGCCCTCGTTCGCCTTAAGGAAGCATCACTGTATTAATCTATTTCTGAAAAGGACAATCTGCCGTAACATTACAAGTATGTGATTGTGAAAGATGGACGGAATCCTGTGATAAGCTCAAAAGATTGCATGCATGGTTAGAAATCAAGGCATGAGGTTAAGGTTGAACTGTGGCAGTTTTGACTATGCAGCCTTGTTTTCTTGAAATCATTCCATTGTCTCATTGGCTAATTATGGTAAACACAAAACGTGAAGATGGCATATTCTTCCTTTATTCCATTAGGAGCATAAAATTCATAGCTGTCATTTGTTTTAACTTGCACATTTTATTAGGTAATGGTGGTTTCAAGACCCCTATTGTGTATTAGAGCAAACAGAGCAAGTATCATACAATATGAAAGCACCAAGCATTGCTACTAACATTTTCTGAGGCCTGTATTTTCGAATATTTTGAATAGAACATTCTTGTTGAACTATCCTGAAGCTTAAGGGGAGATGCAAGTAGAAAAACACGACTTTTTTCCAAAATTACATATTTTTTGTTTCTGTTTGCTTTGACGAATGTAGTCTCTCTACTTTCATGACAAAAAATTGAAGATTACAATTAAATTCAAAGCAGGTTAAAACTGATTTTCAAGAGCACAAAGTGGTTACTAAAAATTAAAAGGAGCTTATTGTCTAAAGTCCCCTAGAAATTGTCACCTGGTTGCTTGCCATTGCATTCCGCATGAGCTGCTTTTTAAAGCCACATGCTCGAAATAACAATGATTGCCAAGCTCTGCTGAGGAAAGAAATGATCTTTTCTACATAGATGAGCTTTCACTTATACCTTTGAAATGCTTTTTTCTCAAGATCCATTTTTGGGCAAATTTTTGAGTTAAGCATCATATTTTTGGTATTTTTGATAGCCAGGTCAGGATAAAATTTTGCCCATATATTTATTAACTTGATATCGACTCTATAAATGTTGAAAACCTGAACTGAATAATTAGTGGGGGTTGAGAAATCTAACAATTATCACATAATAATTTTTCTTGTCCATTAATATGTGTTATATGCACTGCCTTGAGAGTTATTTGCATTCTAGAGCCAATGTAGAGAAATATGAGCCATCAATAGCTGAGAGCCATAAATGCTTAGTGGCATAAAAAGTTTGTCCAAAACCAACTATATGCTATACATTGCCGTGGTGTAAAACTAAAACTCTCCAACTTACCATAGAGATAATTACATATTTGAAATCAGCATAAAAGTCTATATAGACAGCAAAACTTTTATTGCCCTCGGCTACAGCTTAATGCAACTTTTTTTTTAATTGCATCTCCCCTTGAAGAAACTGTAATTCAATAGGATGTGATACAGCTACAGCCTCTATTAAAGGTGACAAGGAATATAAGTAAAGTCACAAGATCAAGAATTTAATGAGAATACCAGGAAATCACTTTACACTAGAAAAGTATGTTTTGAGATCTCTGGTAGATGACTCCATCATGCAATGTAATAGCGAAGAAAATGATGATTGCGTGTTGTTGACCCATGACTAATGCTTATGCTGTGATGCTTTTGTTAGTACACATTATGTTTTGACAAAGTGTTTCTGTCTGTTCAACTATAGTGCTAAAAAAACCCTTGCAGTGATTGCTTATATGAACTGTGGTAATCTGTTTTCTTTTGTTATTTGTTTCTCAGTGTTTTATTAAAGATTTAAATTCATATCAGTTGTGTTTTTGTAAGTCTCGTATCACCTACTTATAATAGAAAACTGAATGTAATGCTATTGACCTATGGTACTCCCAAACAGATGAATTCTTATATACTTCAGTAAAGATAATCTGTGAGCGATTACTGAGAAGCAGAAAATATTACATTTATGCATGGAAAAGTCACAATAAACTTAATCATAATGAAGGATGGCTGGTTTCGCTACCAGAAATCTGCACACATTTTGGCTACATATTACACATAACAGCAGATGAATACTACTTTGTTTCACTTCTCCTTAGGTCTCCATAAAATAATCTGAAGCCACACAATTTTATACTGTAGTCATGCACAGTTTACGATAAGCTGGAGTAATTTCATTCGTTTGTAATACAATTTTTAAAACAATTATTCTGATGCCTTGATGAGTTTCATGTGCTTTCATAGTATGATGGCTTTTCATGAACTGATAAAAAGGTTAATTATTCAGGCTTAGAGTGTGAAATCCACATGCAATGCTGTGGATGTAATGTAAGGCATATGCAAACACTACTCTGCTGTTACTCCTAGCATTGACTATGTCTTCAATGAAGGACTACATGACTTTGCTGCATAAAATAAGCTGTCCATCTATGTACAGTGCACTCGGATTGAATTGTGACTCGGATTAAAATGTGACAATCTAAGGCTAATAAATGCACACAATTTTGTTTTCATCATCGTTGATTTATATTGCGACAGTATAATTTCAACTTGAACACTTACATCAGAGTCATCGGCACCTTTCTGCCTTAATAATAGTGACATATCATAGTTATCTCAAGAGATTGCACATAACTCTCAAAATGCACCACTTTTTCTTTAAATATTCTGTTAACCTATTAAGGCCCAGTGTAGTTTACAAAGTACACTTCCTTTTTTGAGAATAGAAAATACATGACAGAATATTCTTATCTTGCTCATGTAAATTTCAGATGCCAAAGGTAACAGCAGGATAATCCTAACTTGGCATAATGACTGGGTTCTATTTTTATATTTTGTGAGTCGTTAAAGGGACCAACAACTGGCCAGAAGCTGTAATTATATCTTTAAAAAAATGAAAATACCATGAAATATAGGAACAGATTTCAGCATTTTTTTGCATTGTGAGTATGATTTAGTACGCTAAATCGTACTTGAAAGTAACAAAAACCTGCCGGTGGCCCAACCTAGTGAAGGGGAATTGAAGCTGGATTATGAAATATGGAGTCAACCACTTCTTGTACGTAGTTACGTAGCCTGAGGCTGTCATGCACGCCAGCCCTCAAAATTTGACGATGCATATTATTATGCTGCCCGGCTCAATTCCGCCATGCTTACGACGTAAAAGGAATTACATGGTGAGAAGCTGCATTGCTGTTGTGGCCACCTGTGGACCATTTAGAGCTGCGGCGCATGTGCGTCGAGTGCACGCATGGGCAGTAAACCAGCACAGTCAAACACGACCCACTCTCGTGCGCACTGTTTGCACCGTGTGAGTATATGACTTCATATTCGCTGTAGACAGAGAAATTTCGATTACAAATGTTTTACGATGTTTTCTACGTTGCCATTTTATGATTAGACTCATTGATAGATAAGCTTTCTGTTACACTCACAAAAATGGCACCAAACATTACGAAAACGAGAGCCATTCAGGTGCATGTGGTCAGTACTCCTCTTTCTAAATTGATTTGAGGTTGTACAATTTATATGCTGAAACAATGAACTGCTTCTGTTTCAGAAAGAACAGATTAATTCCTGCAAAGCGAGAGATGCGTATAGAGATAGTTTTGTTCTGAGGTGTAATCAAATGTGAGTGTGCTTTGTATAGTACAACAAAACTTCGTTGGAGCGTACATGTACAGGGGGGGCCACAGTTTCCAAGTTCCCAGGCTATGCTCCCGTGAGAATACTTGAGATAGTGGCCTGGGAACTTTTGACCCCCCCCCCCCCCCGTACCTATTGTGCATTGCCTGAGAGATTGAGCCAGTTATTTTCTGTGTAAGAATGCCATTTTTCGGTTATCTGAGACTCATGAGGCTGTGACAGATGTCGCTGTAAATATACCAGAGGTGGTTGATGTTTTCATTGTCACTTATGACCCTAACATAGAAACTTAGGAGGAGGAAGGGAATGACAACGGTACGAATGCATGCTCTCTATCAACGATAAAGAACATGGAATGAAAGAAACATGGGAAACATAGTTTATGTCTTGATCCAGGAAACAAGAGTTGTTTTATAAATGCTAAAGGCAAAAGCATAGTTGCTATGCTCACAAACAACAACACAGTGTAGCCACTATGCTCTGTAACCAGCTGGCCATAAACTGAACCCCCCCCCCCCCCCCAACAAAAAAAAAATGTAACACTACTATAAAACCTCTTTAGCAGCTTTAACAATGACACTGAAGAGATAAGCTCTCTAATAAAGCTGCAAATAACCACAGAATTTTTATTCATGAGAAAAGGGGATATCAGCCCCTATTTACCCAGGTGATTGAAGTGTAAAACAGTGTCTACTATTGCAGTGGAGGTTTCAGCAGACCCTCTATGCATTGACTATTATCTTTTAGTCGGATAATAGCAAGACACTGACCTTGTACACCACAGAAGTATCAAGAGATCTTCAGTATCCACTGTGCTTGCTTTTTCTTTCTATCCATTCGGACGTTTTCACAGAAAGCTCGGAAAGCAATGAAAGTCTCCCATATTATCTCGAAATGGTGTTGTTAGAAGTCTGACATTGTACTTTCCATAAAACACTGGTGTTTCAATAAATTACATGGGCCAAGATAACTTTGGTATTCGTTTGGTAATGATCTAGTGTACTCTCCATTCTTGCATCAGACCAGCTTTCCTGTTGCTATGTCGACAGCCCAGCATACTTTCTAAAGTACAGTATCATAACTTCTGAAAGCAATAATGAATTTCTATGAAAATTTGCACATAAATTTTTATTGCAATTAGGTAAATGTAGAAATATCTCAATAAAATCCACTTCATAGTTTTTGGATGGCTTAATGGGTTAATTAGAATAAATTTAGTAGTACTGTGGCAAGAACTGAAGGTATGAGATCATGAGTTTATTTAATCTCAAAATAAATTTTTGCAAGTCTCATGACTAACTGCCTCAGGCTAATGAACATATTTTACGAACAGCTAACTTTGTTTTCAACACATCTTGCCCGCCGCGGTGGTCTAGTGGCTAAGGTACTCCCTCAGCTGCTGACCCGCAGGTTGTGGGATCGAATCCCGGCTACAGCGGCTGCATTTTTGATGGAGGCAAAAATGCCGTAGGCCCGTGTGTTCAAATTTGGGTGCACGTTAAAGATCCCTAGGCGATAGAAATTCCCGGAGCCCTCCACTACAGCGTCTTTCATAATCATATGGTGGTTTTGGGACATTAAACTCCACATATCAATCGATCAATTCAACACATCTTGTACAATCACTGTATGATACATATATGTTCTTATATGTTTTCATGCCATGTCAGCTCGTTCCTTTACTTCAACTGATATTCGTAGCAGCAATATTCTCAGATGATTAATGTGTGAAAGCACTTTACAGTACAAACAGTGATGGTGCCTGGTGAAAGTGATTGTAGACAGTGGCAAATCATGATGACATCTTCACGACGAGTGCCGCTAGGGCAGCCAGGAGCAAAGCCGAAGCACTAATAGTGCAGGCACCCGCGCCACATGGCCGATAGTCAAAGTTCTCGCAACTCTTTGCACTGGCCTTACGAGAATAGTGGGCCAAGATTTCAATGCCACTGTCCGTGCACTGTTTCCTTTTATAAAGACTCCTGATGCACTCGTTTGCCCTCATAAGTGCACTGAAAAGAAGGAAAATAGGCATACATAAAGCTTTTAAATTGTGATAAAGCTGTGCATACATGCTTTATAATCAAGGCACTGACTGCTGCCTCATGTAAAGCTACAATATCACTTGAGGGAACTCTGACACTGCGATTGGTCAGCCACCATGAGAATGATAGGTAGTGAGTACGTGGGTAGTCTTCCTGCTGGTGCTTTCGAGGACACTTGCGGCTTTGCTTATCATTGTGTTTTGGCTTCGGTTTCAGACAAAAGAAGAGCTCATTATGTACCTTGTGAGATAATTTGAATTCGTGAGGCTAAAAGGGTCAAGGTGGTGATATGTGACAGCTGAGCCTTTGCTAACTTCGTCTTGCATCAAAGCAGCTGCGGGCCACATGAAGCCAAAAGATTGAAACTTATGCAAAGCAATGCACTACCCGTCATTCCCCTGCTGGCTGAAGTGTCCTGTCTTGCAGCTCCCACAATACTAATAATGCCAGATTTCACTCTAGAGTACTATTGTGAAACTCTATGTCCTCGCATCTTGAGGAATGGTCGTATAATGTTGGAGATGAGCAGATCACGTGACATATTTACAGGAATGTATATATAACATAGAGCTGTGTCGAACAGTTTGTCCGGGTGAGTATACAGATGTATCTCTACAGTTATATAAACCATTTTCTTTGCAACAAGCCTCTTTTTAAAGCTTGTATTTTTGACAAGCAGGAAATAACATTTTTCTTTGTAAATATACTGTACAAATGAGAAAAAGCGTGCAGTTTATAAAAATGACTTGCTCCATTGTAAATGGACGCCATCTGCCAAGCTATAAACGACTCATTCTTGCACTATTTAGTCAAACCTTGTTTATGCTTTTTTAAAAAAAAGAAAACCCAGAAGAAAACACACTATTTGGAGAAATGTACAATATAATTTTTTAATATATGCAGTATTGCTTGGAAAGCAAAGCAGTGACATGTGTTGTGAAGCATCAGACGCAGCGTAGTCAATGGGTGGCACATCAAGCTACATAAAATATTCCCTCCCCCCTCCCCCCAAAAAAAAGAAACGTTTTTTTTTTTGCCATGGCATATTCAGCTCAAGCTAAGACCACCACATCTGTGTGCCTGACCCCTACTTCAGATCAGCAAGGTGGCCCCCCCTCCCCTGAAAAAAGTTTTCTGCCTATGCCCTAGCTTCCCTATTGCATGAAGCTAATTGGGCTTTTGGTTCACTCGACAACTGTGAGCACAAACCATCATGATGCTGGCAGTGCAGGGAGTGGAAAGTGTGTGTGCAGACCCTTGCTATTCAAAGTACGGCACATTTGCAGGCAGGTCACCTAAAAACATACTATGTGTTGACCATATGCATGCGCAGGATTTGCCATTAGAGGGGGGGGGTGCAGTCTCACCAGAGACCTTTCTCACACTTTCAATTGGTTTAGTTCTAAAAAAAGAAAAGCAAGCTTGGCAGTGGAAGCCAAAATGAATATGAAGCGATGAAGTGCTTCCCACAACAGCCTGCCATTGGCCTCCGTCCTTGCAAAGGTAAAAATTGAAGTGACCAACTCCTCTAATGCAAGTGGTCCTTGGCCGACATTATCATTGAAGACCTGTATGACCATAACCTTGCATTGTAAACGATGACTAGACAGGTCTGACTGAGTAAAGGTATGGGGCAGACTTGGTTCTCGCACACCATGTCTTTTTCTCTTCTGAGTGAACCATTCTTTTCAGTGGTGTTCATATCCTTAACGCACTCTTTACGCTAAAATTGAAACCTTGAGATGTCTGTGCTGTTTGATTGTTGGTGCATACATGGGCAATTGTGACTGTTTATTAGTGGTGAATGTTGTGCTTAAGATATTTATTGAAATCTGGTTTTAAGGTAGGTGTGAGTGCTCATTTGAGTTGGCAGCACCTCACGACATTGCCACTTGAATGACGTAGTCTCACAGATAGGGGCCCTGAGTGACATCCTATGAGTGAAGCGAGTATTGCGGACATCACAGAAGATTTACAGGATGGACACAGTATAATGATTGGCATCTGGAGAGGGCTATTATCCTCGGTGGGTGCCTCCTGGGAGCAGTGGCATAAATGGTCGGGTGATCAGGTGAGTCGAGACACCTCCAACCCCCTGTGTTCATGCTTGAGAGACAACCCATGCAAGTGTCTCCTTTGAGATTTATCTTACCAATGTACCATTCGAACTTTTTGAGAGTCAAGAATAATGCACTTTATGTAAAAAGAACTCTGAAATCTGAATACTGAACATAAAGGAAGTGCTTCTAGCCAGTACACACGATGGGAAATATACCTTTATGCATTAGTACAAAAAGTGCTACCATTTCTATTGCATGCTTTACTTGAATGATGCATCTATAAAAATGCTAGTGCCTGGCCACAAGTTGCTGTTAGAAAGTAAAATGATGTCAAATGTCGTCAAATGATGTCGCTTATATACTTATGGATACTCAGTGATGACCAGGTGTTGATATTCATGCTCATTTTTATTATTATTGTTATAATAATTAATAATAGCATAAATGTAAATGCATAATTTTATTTTTGTAAGAATACAATTAAAGCATATGTATAAAAATGGCCATCATTGCAAGATATGTATGTCCCCCCTTGTGGCCTTAATGGATTGACCACACTACCTGGGAGCGTCTTTTGACCTAAGGCACTCCCCGCACTAGGGCGCCAAGATTTTAGGTGGGAGTTCTGAAGTGGCAGTAAATGGTCACAATTAAAAATGCTATTCGGTTTTGGGATTGCCAGACACAAAGCTAGAAATTGCAGCAAAACAATCACAAACAAAATTTCACTGCCAGAGGTCCCTGAAAAATGTACACTAAAGGGCAAATAGAATTATTCATTATATAAAATCATTTTTGATCATGAGAAGTTTGACGTCAATGTGTAGAAAAATTCATGATTACATTGAACAAAAATGGTCTGAGCATTATAATATATCAGACATCTCGCAATGTGGTAGGCCCCAAGATGCTTTTTCCCTTACAACAAGGTGGCTTTTTCTCATGCAAAGGGATTTTCATGTGCAGGGCCATAATCAGGGGGAGGAGTTTAAGGGGTTCTGACACATACCACCCAAAACTTTTGCATGCTTCAACTTTCCATGCAATTCAGAAGTGTGTACACAGATTCACATAATCACTCCTCGAAAAATGAATTCCTGGGTACAGCCCTGTTCGCGCATATATATTTGGGAGAAAAAGTGATGTGAATAGGAGCTATGGAGCTGTGCAGAGTGAGTAGCATGTGCTCTCTGCTATGATTTCTTGCTGTGCCAGTCACGCAGGTTCACCATTAGCTTCTGAGCTGTCATAAAACTGAAGAACCTGACTGTTTTCCACCTTCTTGAAATGGAACCCCTAGAAATCGTCATTTTTCCCTCTCTATGCCATGGCGAAAAAAAAATTTCGGAGGAGGGGGGAGGGGGTGCACAGGCCTGGTGTGCCACCTCCTGGCTACTACCCTGTCAAGCAGTACCGTGAAGCCAACTTGTGTACCGAAAATGCAATGAATTTTTAAAAATATAATATCGTATTACACGATGTATCAAACTAATGCTCCCTTTTTTGTTTATTTAGTGTGTTCAATATATACTGGTTCCACTGTATTACCTGTGCAGAATCTCACAGAATTTATGTCAGAATATAGCCAGAAACTCTCAAACGAAGCTTGCTGTAACTAAATTTCGGTGGCAACAGTGGCATCGTATGTGAAGAACCCGGCGCTGGTGAGTGTACAGACCACATGTGTCAGCAGAATTTTGTATTGGGAGGTGCAAACCTGCATTTCATCGTGGAAGGCGAGATGGAATCTAGCTTGGGTGAGAGCAAGGGCTGGTGCGGCGGATTGAGGGAGGCAAGTAGCCTTTCTTAGAACTCCCCACCACTAACGCCTAAGCCCTCAAAGGCCCGCCGGCCACATGCGTATTTATGTGCCCCATTTTCTGATAATTCGATCAAGAGATTGTGGGCTTGTCAGCAATCAGCTGTTTCTGATCAGATTTGGCTGTCTGATTTTTAACGAGTCATTTCACATCCTTGTTTCATTATTGCCTTTCTGTGTTGCATTTCATTGTTCCACGTGGAGGCATGACCGTTGTTGTTATTTGAGGCAACACCAGGATTACTGCGCTTGTCACGGAGGAAGGAAAAAGTAAGGAGGGGGCATTGTGCAATGTGATAGAAATAAAAAAAAGAAAGTAGTTGGTCAGCCTAGCACTTGCTCCAAACTTCACTTGTGCCTTTTTTGCGGTGGAGGAAGATTTCATTTTTTGTGTCTTATTTACAATGAGTAGCTTGTTTTCAATTCACTTGTTTAATGCAGTTGGACCAAAAACCTTCCTGCAAACCACCTATTGCCGCTTTAAAATTTGCTAAAGTTTAATTGTGCAAGAATTAAGTATTGCGATGTAATAAATTTTGACCAAATTCACTACAAAAACTGAAACCGAAGCGAGAGGGCGTGCTACTAGCAGATGACCAGGATGACATCACTGTTCACTACAACGATTGCAGTGGTGCTAGTTTTTATATGCGTTAACATATGTGCACCACATGTGCTATTGTCACAAGCGCAGCCTGTACAACTGCGTTCAATTCAATCGATGGTTCATCTAGAATTAACGATGCCCATTTATTCTGGATGTCTCAGTAGAGTTTGGTAGTAGCACTCTTTCATGTTTTGATTTCACCGAAAATCGGAGGATTTCATTACTCTGATAATGTTACCGGTGTCTGCTTTTTGGAAAGCTCAAAGTGGCAAAAGTGCCTCATATTTTACCCATCTGCCCACCTACACTAATGAAAAAGTTCATTAATTTAAGTTTTTATATTACTGCCCAGTGGCAGCACATGTCTCCAGGCAGACGTCTGCCACCACAGAAAAAATAATTGTGAAGTCGATGAGCAAACATTGCACTTCTCTTATTTTTTTACCATTTTTCTGACACACTTCTTGAAACACCCTGCATACAGTATAGAAAAACGTGACCTACATATGAAGGCTATACTTGTTTTGTTGCAAAAACAAGTTTTTCCAACATGAGTCTGCCTCCAGCGAGATTGCACTGTACATACCACTTATACCACTTCAATTTCTCCCATCCAGTAAAAGAAAACAGCAAGATACCTTCATGCTGGCTGCAATTTTTTACATTTTTACAACGACGACCACAACGAGGACGAATGAGTGAATGATGCAAAAAAGGCTGTGCCTTACCAACAGACAATCTCCCGACTTCTAGCGTGGTCGTTGTGATATTCGTCGTAACTCCGGCGGAACTCGTTCTCGAACGTGTGGGAACACTCTTGCCTTGCCCGGAAGAAGTCGAGATCATGGCAGGCAGCCGAGACACTGATCTCAGCTGAAACAAAATGGAAGCTTATGTAGAAGAATGCAATAAACTTTTCAAGTACGTTTTTTTTGCAATCTATTTGGTTCATATCATTTATAATTGCTTCAATATGTTACGCAATCAACTTAGGCACACCAAACTGTCTTTGTTTTAGTGAAAGAGTGACGAGGAATTGATGCAGCATCTTGCACGAATAGGGTGGGTCGACGTTACTTCATGAAGTGGGGCAACAGCAGACAATTAAACAGACAGACAAATATTCTGGGGTTTTACAGGCAACGATTATAACTATGTAACAGGGACTCTAGATATTAGGGACTTTGCCCAACTGGTGTACTTTGACAACTAATTTATGTCTTAAAACCTGATATGATTATGAGAGATGCTTTTGTAGTGGGTTCCAAAAATTTTGACTCTCTGGGGTTCATTAACGTACACCTATGCATACGTTTTTTTTTTTCTTTTTGCAATAGTGATTGTTTGGACTTTTTTGACAGGTTTTCGCCGGCGCTGTCAGCATCATGTTCAGTATAAATTCCAAATTGAGGACATGTTTTGCCCACAGGTAAAAGCACCATAGTTCACTATAGTGCTTCATAAAGAAAGTGACAGATTACCAATAAAAAAAGGTATAAAACAAGGGACTACGATCTCCCCAATGCTATTTAGCGTGTGCTTAGAGGAGGCTTTCAGAGGTTTAGAATGGGAAGAGTTAGAGATAAGAGTAAATGGAGAGTACCTTAGTAACCTCTGCTTCGCTGATGATACTGCATGGCTGAGTAACTCAGGTGACGAATTGCAATTTATGATTACTGAATTAGACAAGGAGAGCAGAAATGTAGGTCTTAAAATTAATCTGCAGAAAACAAAAGTATAATGTAACCTTGGAAGAGAACAGCACTTGGAAATACGTAGAGGTGCACTTGAATATGTAAAAGAGTATGTCTCCTTAGGATAAGTAGTGACTGCAGAGTCGAACCATGATATTAGGCAACTAGAAGAATAAGAATGGGGTGGAGCACATTCAGCAAGGATTGTCTAATCATGACTGGTAGATAACCACTATTTCGCAAGAGGAAAGTATATAACAGTTGCATCTTGCAAGTACTTGCTTACGGAGCCGAAACCAGGAGGCTTACTAAAAGAGTTCAGCTGAAATGGAGGACAATGCAGCGAGCGATGAAAAGGATTATGATAGGTGTAACCTTAAGAGACAAGAAGAGAGCAGGCCAGGGAATGAACCGGGGTTAAGGATATCATAGTTAAAATCAAGAAGAATAAATGGACATGGAGGAGGAGGACGAAAGATTAAGCGGAAGGACAGAGAGGTTAGCTAGTTCTTAGACCGGCTGGCTACCCTGTGCTGGGGAAAGGGGTGAGGGGAATAAAAGATGATAGAAAAGAAATGTTGCAAAGAGAGAGAGAAAGAAAATTAAAAAATAGCAAAAGAGGAAAAGCAAAATCAAAGAATAAGACACTAAAGTCTGCCTCTGGGGCCACTTGTTTGCGAAAATCGTAGCAAAGCTTTCAAAGCCTTCAGGGCTGAAAATGGGCTCAGCTAATGACCCAGATTCCTTTGTTACGACAAAGGCCGGTCATCTAGTCTATCCAGAGCTTCAGGTATTTGCCCAGGTATACCGCGCGCACCAGCTCCACGCCCATTGAATCTGGAAACAAAGTTCACAGTTGCTGCTCGAGTGATTCCCCCTCCCCCCGCGTCTATTCATGCTCGTTCAAGACAGGCGACCTGTTTTCTCTCCGCCTGAGCATTCGATGGCAGGTCTAACAAGCGGCGAGATGCATGCACCCTCCGAGTGGCGGAGATCTGCCACCTCGTTTAATCTCTGCTTGAGCAGTGCTCGTCCACCCGGGTGGCGCTATTTCACGCGCGGGTAGAACTTCAGATGTGCAGGGAATATTACCAACTTGTAGTTTACGCAAAACATGGCGACGGCGGCAAAAACCTGTCGAGTGTCCATATATAATTTGGATCGTAATAAACAATTTCCCGCTTTATTGCCTAACAATGGCGGGGCAAGCGCATCTAAATTTCTTCGCTGTTCTCATGTCGCCCATGGCGTTTCAATTACTGGGACATACGCTTTTCACATTTATTTTTATGAAGCCGTATAGGATTTAGTATGAAGATACCTGTTATTATTACCTGTTATTAGTGGGAAAGCTTCACCCCCCCTTAGCTCAGGAAAGGAGGGTGGTAGGCTGACGAATTTCTTGACCTCCTCCACCAGGTATATACGCCTATGTGTGTGTGTGTGTGTGTGTGTGTGTGTGTGTAACTAACAGCAGTAAATAGCAATGAATTGGCGTACTGTTTGGGGAAAGAGATTATACCCCTCTTCAGAAAAAAATAAATGGCCACTCGTCGGTATGTGCTGAGATTTCTTGCGCTTACCAAGCAGCACCAGTCCGGTGGCCAGCAGCAGGTGTCTGCAGGACAGCATCCGGATGGGCTGTGCCATGGCGCTCCGGCTTTTACACACTGGCTCTTGAGTCGAGGCCAACCTGCGCATGCGTAATCTGTGAAGAGCTGCGCTAGACGCAATGGGCAGCTATTCCAGTGTGTAGAGCGCTTCTTGCTACCCCAAAAGCGAAGAAACATCGCTGACAGGCCAATGCGAGAAATTTTATCGTAGCAGTGCAAGTGAGCAAGGTGCCCCACCCTTGAGGAGTATATTATGGGTCGATTTGCTGCAGCTGTTATTCGCCCGCATCGTCAGCTATACCATCTTCAAAGCCAGGCCCGAGAACACTGACATTGCGGCGGGGAAGCTGCCGTAACTTCACGGCAAGGATGCGTTTTGTTTAATGATTTCCTTTTTCTTCACCGGCCATGTGTCTGCTCTTTCGCGACAGATAGTAATTGATTGATGATTTGATTGATATGTGGGGTTTAACGTCCCAAAATCACCATATAATTATGAGAGACGCCGTAGTGGAGGGCTCCGGAAATTTCGACCACCTGGGGTTCTTTAACGTGCGCCCAAATGTGAGCACACGGGCCTACACCATTTCCGCCTCCATCGGAAATGCAGCCGCTGCAGCCGGGATTCGAACCCGCGATCTGCGGGTCAGCAGCCGAGTACCTTAGCCACTAGACCACCGCGGCGGGGCGACAGATAGTAATTACTCCTCAGCACCGCAATATGAAAATATGACATGGTGCACAATTTGCACAAGTTACAAGCGTTCGTTACTATTTAAAGTTAACTAAGCTCCGGGAGGTTTGTAAAATGAAGGTTAGAATGGGCAAAAATATAGTCTAAACAGAGTTTTCAATGTGAAATAATGCAGAACTGCAAAGAAACTGTTGTTTTCACCACGTATTTCAAATAATTGATTCTAACAAAACATTTATGCTAAATGGTTCACACTTCATGAGAGTTCGGCTTAGACTGCGCAGTTGAAAAATGTGTCCCAAAGTACTAGAGATATGAAATTACGACATTTATAATTGACAAATTGACAAACTACTTTGCAGTTTATCGTAAAAGTCCCGTCCACTTATGCAAATAATTAATCAATGCGATTTGACAGAACTGCACTTTCCGCTATATATACGATACTTCAGATGTTTCTGTCTGTCAAAAAGCCACTGATCATATGTAAAAATCAGCGGACCCTTAAGCTTCCTCTTTAGGAGTTGAACGCGATAGCAATATCCTGTCCTTATAGTGCGTACTTCAAATACTTAGTGCATACTTTTTTGTATGCTGTTACTCGAGAAGCTTAATCAATAAAGTTGAAAGTGGCTTGTGTCAGTGAAGCTTTCACATATGGCTTTATTCTGTGAAATTGGTAGCATGCTTTAACCCACAAGCAATTACGCGCGTGAAATTTTTTTTTCGGACTTGCTATATGCACCCACTACGGGGTCTTAATGAAATACGTGCGGTAACGTTTGTGCCTTTTGTAATGGGTGGCCGGCTTTAAACCACGAAGTCGTTATGATATTCACACGTCCTGATGCCCGATAGTAATGTACCCTTGTACCAAGTAATATTACTGCTGTATTACATGTTGCATTGCGAAGCCCGTATACAAGAAGCGTGTGTTTGTACAGTGTGAAAAGTTATTTGCTCTGTATTTCTAAGCAGATGAATTTATTTTAACTTTATTTTGAAGCAGACGCGCGTTGTAGAGCACCTGCTTGCCAGGTATATATATATATATATATATATATATATATATATATATATATATATATATATATATATATATATATATATATATATAATATATATATATATATATATATATATATATATATATATATCATCAGCATGAATACGTCCACTGTAGGACAAAGGCCTCTCTCATGTTCCGCCAGTTAACTCGGTCCTGAGCTTGCAGCTGCCAATTTATACCCGCAAACTTTTTAATCTCATCTGCCCACCTAACCTTCTGTCTCCCCCTAACCCGCTTCCCTTCTCTGGGAATCCAGTTTGTTACCCTTAATAACCCGCGGTTATCCTGTCTACGCCCATGTCCATTTCTTCTTCTTTATTAATAAAGGAGAAGATATATATATATATATATATATATATATATATATATATATATATATATATATATATATATATATATATATATATAAAGAGAGAGAAAGAGACAGAGATAGATAGATAGATAGATAGATAGATAGATAGATAGATAGATAGATAGATAGATAGATAGATAGATAGATAGATAGATGGATAGCGCTTGGGCATTCAACGTCAAACGTCAGCTCCTTGATGTTGGGTGCCCAAGCGCGAGTTGGTAGCCAACACAAAAAAAAAAAGGAAAAATACCGACGATCTCTTGAAATGGCTTTAGTGATATTTTAATAGCATTTTTGAACGATTGGAAACCAATATTCCGCATCTCTAAGGAGGTCATAATAAATGGATCCATCCGATTGTATAACAGCAAAAAATAAGATTGACAAACACTCCTTACGAATAGAGGAACCTAAAGACAGGGCTGTATCAGTATGAAACCAAAGTAGGATAAGTTACACATTTTGCTTACAATGCAACGACCACTTCCCCCTTGTCTCCTATACGTCCTTCCCCCCTACCCCACCATGGAAAAAAAAAGCGAATGCAATGGTGGTTGTGGTAGTGGTTAGAAGAGGAATTAGGCACCTAATTTCCGCAGCCCGGTTGGGAGCACGGCGCAGTGCCTAATGCAATAGGCTGATCAGTCCCAGCCCTATAGAAAAGAAGATTCCTGGAAGCGCCACTGTATGAATAACATGTATAATCATGTACAAACGCGTATGCGCTACCTATTACTCTATGTTGTTTCCAACATGAGTTCCTTCATCACTTGATTTTTTTTTTCCTGTGCAATCGCGTGTGATCTCAGCCGCGTCCCGAAGACACGCACAAATGACGCTATAAATAGCTATCGTCCTCAATCGTGGGCACTGTGGCTCCCGTTTGCCTGTTCCACTTTCGAATTTCTTACTAAAAATTAACCAAGAAAACAAGCTCGCGTGGTACCAGAAGCAACACGCCAGTCCAGTAATCCAGTGAAACTAAAGGAGCATACCTGGTGCCTGCCGGGCTTCCAAAATCGTTCGTCACGTGCGTAGAACGATACGGTTGCGAAAGTGCAGTTCTACCGTCTGCCCCGACTTGAGGATAGCGGGCATTGTAGGCACATAGTCGCGACTTTTTTCAACAGCTGCGCACGAAGTGCGGCAAATGCGTGAGTAAGCGCCGTTGCTGTCCTCGAAAAGTGCACTGAGCCTGCAAAGCGCGTCTTTGCAGCTGCTTCGAAACTACAGACGCAGCTGTGACGCACTTCCCTCTTCGCTTTCACATCCAAGGGAGACGACGCACTCTTGCTCATTGCGGGCTGAGGGCCGTTGCACTTTCTTTGAAGGTCCGTGATACGATTTATGTACAATAGCATGCAAAAGGCGTCAGTGGGTACATACGTGATGGTTTTCCTAAATATGTGTTTATAGCTGTATACGCAGATAGACGTGTGTTCTATTTGCACATTTTGAGCCCCGGTGCACGTTTCCGTTCGTTTGTGCTGCTTGAATTCGTGTATATCTTCAGTGGGTATACCAATCTGCATTTTCTAATGTGCTGTATTGAACGCGGCACATGCGGAACATTAGAACATAAGGCACATGGACACCACAGGCTCCGTGCGGCTTTTGTTCTCTGTTCAATCTTTATCACAGTCGTCACCGTTCGGAGAGAGACGTCATTATAATTGTTACTATACAACTTGTAGCACTGCGAAACATTCCGTAAAGGTCTTCAGTGGAAGGGTAAGTGCGCGTTTAAGGCATGACTTGGGTGCAATAGCAAAAAAAAAAATCTTAACACCTGCTCAAAATAATAAAAATTCTTAACAAAATGGTATAGGCGTTCCGCCGTCACGCAGGTGGTATACACAGCCAGTGATAATGAAAGACACTGAATACTACGCATGGCCTTTGATTTGCAGTTGCAGGGAAGTGTACCGCACGTAGATTGTACTTATCATGCGACCGCGTGAGTATAAAAGATCGTGTTCGCGAGCGCGCACTTTCACATATATTCCTCGATCCACACTGAGGCGCTGTGGCTGGAAATGAAAGTATTTTGAAGAGGGCGCCGCCGGCCAGCAAGGACAATTGAAAAGTCATATGAATCATGAATCAAAGTTGACAGTGGCACAAACACAGAGGGAGGAGGGACGTCTGTCGGGGCGCTGCATAATACCTCCACCGTGCACTCGTGCGAGACTACAACCTTGCGGTCTTCAGCCTTGCTTTGCATCTGCGGCCTCGCGCGAGTGATCGCTTGCCGAGAGCATTCCGTCGGCATGGCAACGTAAGCTCTTTGTCGATGACAAGCATGGCTTACCGCGGCATTGTTTTGGTGGTCGACGTGCTTGCTGCGTCGGCGGTGTCTCGGTTCGCCGCACGAGCGTTCTCTGCATAGATAGTTGTGCCGGTCCCGGCTTGTAATTCGGCACCGCAAAGCTCTAGCTTGTTCGAGGATGCTGCGCAGTTTCATTTACGCGGATATTGACCGGCCGCACCCGCGGGGTCACGAAGGTGCACGCCAGAATTCACGCTGCCATAACCTCGCCCTACCGGACACGGCGGCCCGACTTGGGGCACAGTGCGCAGTGCCGTGTTTCTGTCCTTTTATCTCCTTTTATTTGGGAGGGGTGGAAAGATATCGAATAATGACACGGGTATTTCTCCGTTTTTTTTTTACATGAGACTTATGGGATTGGCCCTATAAACTAAATGCAACACTGCAGCCGTAGCCCATAGGGTATATGTAAATAACATCATTCACAACCAACAAACAGTCGAGCCAAGAAAAGTATAGGCGACGTTATTTGTAGTAAGTATGATGTAAATGTGAATAAACGTAAGCGGATAAAGAGACAACTAGCCGCCGGCAGGGATCGAACCAACAACCTTCAAATAACCTAATTGAGTTACGGCGGCGATCGTCCTCTCGTGCACTTTATATATACATGTATAAAGGCCCCCTATATGA